GATCTTTGTAAGTAGTATGTATATTTCACTAGATTTTATATTTATTTATTAATTTATACTATCTAATTTAGAACTCATTTTAAAATTTTTTGACTGCCTATATCCAAAAGTATATGGCAAACTTCATATATATATTTGATTAAAGATTGTGAATATTATATTTATAATACTGTGTTAATATAATACTCTTATGTTTTACTTAATGTTAGGTTTTGGTTTTAAGATAATAAAAATTTTTTATTATATAATATATATTAGACATAAAGTTCTAATAGGTTCTGATTTTAGTTTCCATAAAGTTTTTAAGGGTGCTGAATATTTTTATTTAGAATATCTACATCTATTTAATTAGTACATTTCTGAAATATAGTATAAGGGTATTATATAATATGGTGTTATGAATATAACTTTCTATTTATAATTATTAGTATAAATTAAATCAATATTATTATAAATTTTTATAATCACTTTAATTTTATTTATTAATAGAATAATTATAGTAAGATACTATACAAAATAAAATACTATAAGTAATTTTATACCTGGTAATAGAGACAATTTTTTATTTAATTATTATTATTATATATTAATGCTATTATAATATTTCTTAGAAAGAAATATGAAAAAAAAAATAAATTATAAGGCATGCTTATAGTGTTCTGAAGTTTAGTTCAATTCTATTTAGATTCAAATTCAAGTTTAATTGAATCTGAACTAAACTTTAAATTTTGCAAATCTTTGAACCTGAATCTAAATTAAACCTTAAATTTATGAACTTGGACTGAACCTGAACTTAAAGTTTTGTTTTAGTTCAAGTTCAGTTCAAGCTTATGAATATGTTTAAGTTTAATGAATTATATATATATTAGATATTATCAAAATAATTTACCTCTAATAATAAGCTATTTTTTTTTTTAGAAGAAAAACAAAAATTTCTTAGATTTAAAAATAAGCTATTTATATAATCATCAGTAGCTACTCTATAGTAAAGTTAAAATTTTACTAAACATCTTAATCTATCTTATTAAGTGAAAGTTGTTCAAAAGATCAATATATATATATTTTAAAAGTTTCATCCAAATTGGATAACCTTTTATTAATATATTTTTGTATATTATATTTTTAAATTTTTTAAAATTTATATTCATTGAAAGTAATAATCAAAAGTTATCCGGCAAACGCTTATAATCATAGCTTTTTTTGCCTTGATATTTTTATGCATAACATATTACACAAACAAATATCTGAAAAATTTACAATATCGAAAACAAATAAATGCATATTAATTAAACTTTATTACATATTTTACATTAAATATTCAAGCAAATATTAAAATTAATTAAAATTGTCCAAAATCAAATATGCAATTATTAAATGTATTGCCGGTGAGTAATTTTCTAGCTCTTTATTTTTTTGTTGTTTTTGATTCTCTCTTTTATCATTTTGACTAATCTGCATTACATTTTGGCTAATATAAATATTTTGGTTAAGCTCAATTAATGTATTTCGTATACTTTGTATTGGTAATTCAGTAGCTTGTAATGAAAGTTCAGATGTATCCCATGATAGTAGATCAGGTGTTGTTACCAACATATCATCCTCTTGAATTTTAAAGCAAAATGAAGAATAACTACTTGCTAGAATAAAATCTCCATATAAATTATTAAACTTCTGTTTCAAATTATTGTCACTTTGATCTTGATCTTCGTTAGAAGTATTTGTAACCGAAGTTAATGCATTAAAAAAGCTACCTAATCCTTCTTGTTGCAAAGCTGACTTTGGATGCTCATATGCGACTAGACCTTGTAATGACCTATATCTGGTAATTGATATAACAACCGAATTAGAGTATCCAATATCTTTTAAAATTTGAACGGATATCTTACGTCCAGAATGATTAGAAATGCACCGATTTTCAATAAAGATATTTGTAGTTTTGCATATCATTTTAAAATAGTTTCTTAATACATGCTCTGGTTGGAAATGTGTATAATACCATTAAGTACTAAAATTGTTTGTATAGATCTTTAGATTAATTTAAATATTCAATATTGGAAACAACTAATATGAAAAAATTTAAAAAAAAACTTACAGGCATTTACATTATATGGCTTTAAGTAGAAATTTGAAACTGTCTTTGCTGGATACTTCGTGAAATAAAATTCATAATCGTCAATTACACTTTTAATATTAGGAAGACTAATAGTCTCTGCTTGTGCATAATAATTATCTAATCCTCTTTGATTCGTCTTAGACTTATACAATTTCACATCTATACCTCATCCAATCTCTTGACAAAGTTCTCAATTCTGAGTTCTAAATTAGATAGTATAAATTAATAAATAAATATAAAATCTAGTGAAATATACATACTACTTACAAAGATC